GCAGTACTTAGATGGTAGAACCTGTGCTTTGGGAGGGTTTTTGCAAGCTACAACACTCAAAGATGAGTGCTGAGGGATGGGGGTGCTCCTGATGAAGAGGGAGAAAGAATGTGATAGAAAGCAATAGAGTAGACTGCTGTCAGCCTACAGAAGGATGGATAATGACTTAATTTGATGCTCTGAGCTGCACTGAGCTCAGGGAGGGCTTGGAGTGAGGTATATTGATGATAGACAAGGATAAGCAAAGTAGATGATAGTTAGACCCTTAACAAAGCCCCAACTATTGAAGCTGCTGAATGAATTACTGAGTGATGATAAAATGCAAGAAAGAGGGGCTCTTTGACATCTTCTTTTTTTGCTATCTAAGTACAGTGATTTATATGCAGTACAGGGGTGTTGCCCATGGAAAAAAAGGCTCAAACACTTGGTAAGTGATTGGTAACTGATGAGTAAGGAATGTAAGCAATGGGTAATCATCTTGGAAAGCAGTGGTAAGCATTGGTAAGGACTAGCAAGCCACAAGGCAAAGAATCAGTAAGCAAAGTCAAAAGATTGGTAAGTATTGGCAACAGGTGAGTCAAAGACAGTCAGAACATCAAAGTATGAGTCAAGTAATGTCAGGAACTGGGAAAGCACACTGGAATTGCATTAGGGGGAGGCTGTGCATGTCACATCTCAAAGAGATCACTTCTAGGCCAAGGTGGGATGACAGGGAGGCAGTGCTGATCTGATGCCAATATAGTACATCCAAAAGTGGACAGTGTGAGTCAGATGTCAACAGGGGTCAAGCTTTGGGGGTCTGTGGGGTGACAGGAGCATAGGGGATTGCAACTTTCCCCCCCCAAACCATCCTCTCAGTGAAGCAAATAAAAACTTCATGAATGAGGCTCTGCTGGAAGAGAGGGTGAAGGGGGAGTGTCTTCTGCTGTATCTTGCAACAGGAGGCAAGATGTGCATCATACTTGTCATGGATGTGATCAGGGAGAGTGGAGAACAGTAGATTATACTGTAGCTGTTGCAATCTTGGAAGAATGACAGATGAGACTGGTATGAAGACATTGCAGGGAGCAGGGAGGAAGGATCCATATGCTTCTTGGACTGGAGAGACTGAAACAACCACATAAGACCTTTGCAAGCAAATGACAGACCTGAGGCAACCAAAGAACATCCTCCTAGAGGTCATACTGACAAAAAGAACACACTGTCCAAGCTGGACAGGCTGAGAGGGTGCAGACAAGGGTGGGATGTACCAGGATGCTTCAGGATGGAAGCTGGTAGGAACTCCTGGTAGATATATGTAGCCATGGTCCCTAGCGAAGGGGACAAGTGAAATGATTGATGTGGAGGCAGCCATATCAGAAGAATTAGCAAAGTGAGTGTCTTTTGGAGAGAGTGCTGTAGAAACGTGTGGAGTGCACAAATCCTTTCCAATTTTGGAAGGTAGGATCGCATGGCTGAGCACTACAAGTGAGTGTAGGAATGGTCTCAGTATCTGCAGAGACAGCAGAGATATGTCGAAAACTGGAATGCCATACACAGGCACTTAAGAATTTTAACCAGCACTTAACTCACTCCCTTTCTTTTTCTTTGGCACTGATGACTGCCAACATTTCTGGCTGTCCTTCTTTACATGAGGGCTATGGTCTTTGTCTCCATTCATCAGCTGTATCCATGTCCACCTCACCAAACACCTTTGGTGTGTGACACTGTCCATAGTAAGATGTACCTGTTGCAACATAAAGACAGGCCCTTCAATATATATCATTCACAGGGTCACAACACATGGATGGGCCCATCTAGTAAGATGCACCCATGTCACAACATAAAGACAGGCCTTTCAGCAATATTAATTACACAGTCACAACACATGGGTGGGCCCATCAATAGCAACATGTATGCCTGTCACAACATAAAGACAGGCCCATCAGTAATATCAATCACATGGTCACAACACATGGATGGGCCATCAATAGCAACATGTATGCCTGTCACAACATAAAGATGGGCCCATCAGTAATATCATTTACAGTGTCACAACACATAGATGGGCACATCTAGTGAGAGATATGCCCCTGTCCCAACATAAGGATGGGCCCATCAGTAATATCATTTACAGCATCACAACACATAGATGGGCCCATCCAGTAAGATGCACCCCTGTCACAACATAAAGACAGGCCCATCAGTAATATCATTTACAGTGTCACAACACATTGACAGGCCTGTCCAGTAAGATGCACCCCTGTCACAACATATGGAAGGGCCCTTCAGCAGTATCATTTATGTGGTCACAACTTAAGGATGGGCCCTTCAGCAGTATTATTTATATGGTCATAATGTATGGACAGGCCCTTCAGTAATATCTTTTATATTGCCATAAAACAAGGATGGGTCTGTCTAGTAAGATCCACCCCTGTTGCAACATAAGATGGGCCCAACACCAATAGCATGTATAGCATCACAACATATTGATTGGATCACAGCAAAATATTGAGGCAAGTGTCCTGACATGCTGTAATTTTCCAACAAGCTGCTTGCAGCTTGCCCACTATACAACTCTGACCTCATCCACCCCAAGCATGAATACTATGCAAGACATGTCTAAAACCCCCCACAGATGGTGAATGGAACTAACAGACTGCATTGCATCATACATGGAAGCCAGATTTCAAGAGGAGGTATTCAGCAGACCTCACACCCTTCCAGATATATTGATTCTGTTTCTGGTGTTATGTGAAGTGGATCCCATATCATCAGTAATCTCACAGGCCTATTGTCACCCAAGTAAGTCCATCATAATGGTGTGATGGAAGTTTTCATCTTTCTGCAGTCAATGTTGGGAAAAATCAGGGTGGAAAAACCTGCAATGCAGAAGCTGCTGAGAGATACATGGAAGTGACTGAGCCATCCATTCTGGTGACTGACTCAAACACCATCTGAATTTGGTATTTGCCAGATGCTCTCAGCCCAAAAAGAAGGGTAAGGGAATGCAGAATCTCATATTCTACTGACTTAATGCAATGGCAGGCTGACATATGGAACCACCTTCATCTTCTGAGGGAACCACTGTGGGAGAGCATAAAGGCTTCTCCACAGGCATGGCAGATGGACAAGTCATATTTCTGCAATAATGCTGAGTTGAAAGGTGCCATCAACCTGTCACCTGCATGGTTTCAACAGGGTCATGGGGTGGGTGATCATTTCTTTCCTTGTGAATAAAGCACTCATCTGTCTTGAAGCCCCAAAATGGCTTCCTGGAAGCCTCATGGCTGCTCAAATCCGGGACAGAAAACACTTCTACAAGGGAATGGGTTGACCAAATGTCTGACACCAATGCCCTGTTATCTGTGATCCTGCATGTCATCCATCCATGAATGTATGAAGATGGCAGGGAAGTGTTGATCTGCCTTGGCAAACAGGCAGAACAGCAGGCAGATGCAGATATGAGCTCCATACTGCTGATATGGAGCTCCACATATAGCAGCATGTCTGTGATGGTGAATTGGGCAACTTGTTACCACAGGGATATCAATGGACAGCATCCATGGTGTGACATGCTGGTAACTGTGGGTGACTACCCACCCTTGGACTTTGTCATTCCAACATTGAATCTGTGGCTGCACTACAACCCAGGGACAATCATTGCATTTTCAGGTTCAGCATTGGAGCATGGGGTGGGAGCTGTAGATGGTGACAGAGCATGCCTGGCATACTACATGTGTGCCAATGTACATCAGTTGGTGCACATTCCCATGTGTCAATCACTGTGGATGGATGACCTACTACCTAGACCAGTTGCAACTGGAGAACTGTTGATTTGAAGCTGCAAAATTTAATGTAAGATTTAGTAGGCGATGCAGATCTCGTATTTTATTAGGATATGCTGGCTCTCAAACTTCAGACAGGTGGTGTTACCAAGATTTTGCAAATGGGTGGGTGCTTCAACATCATAGATTGGGCAGGTACTCAGAGCTAAAGGGTGTGCATCATAAACTGCAAAAACAATAAACCTACTCAGGCCATCATGCAGATGGGTGGATTGTCAGACATTGCATGGATGGGCAGGGGTTCAGACATCATGTGAATGGGTGGTATCTCATAAATGATCGACATTCACAGCAATGTATATTCAACCAACTCCACAGTCAAAAACATGTAAACTATTGAAGTGGCATGCCCAATAACCCACACAATGCCCACCACCTAGCATAGAAATGGTCAATTTGTCAACCCTGCCTGTTGACAACATCAGCATATTTCCAAATATTTTTGATGCAGTAGTTTACCTGCTCCTTGATATGGCCATTGAGATGGTCTGTGATTGGTGCACCTCAGGCAATGGCCATAAGCCCTGGGCCATCATCAACTATTTGCAGTGATGAGAATAAGCAGCATACCTTAAAAAAATCCCAGGCCATGGAAAACAATCCCTCGCCTTGCAATCTTTGGGAATCACTGCTGCATATTCCTCAGAACTGATATAGCCACCAAGGGAATGCAAAGCTGGAATTGGGATCAGCTGCATGTGGTGTCCAATGTGGGATGATGGCACTGATATTGTCGAATTATGCAAAATGCACTAAGGGGAATGAGCTGCATTTGATCATGGAAGCTAACCTCATCATCTTGGTGTCTGAGGTATGCATGGTAGCATGCTGGGAGGGGAGGAGTATAACTGGCACACAACACCATCACCAGAATCAAGTTATTAAGCTGATTCTGAAGGAATTATGTATCAGTCCCACACTGTGAAAAATTGATGTAATACCTACCAAGTCCATTGCTAGGTTTGCAAACCAATGCAAGGGCCATCCCATGATATCAGGCAGTCTGCTTCAGATGTACAGAGGCCACCTCGATCTGGCATGCCAAGTAGAGGATACCCATCTCTACCACAGACTGGTGAGATGGGTGTGATTGGCTGGTGATGAATGGCTCAGGACAATTTTCAAAGGCAGAACACAGATAATGAATGACTTCCATCAAATCAAGTTGATGAGTCAAAGGCCCTGAGAGGCTGCACCATACTGGTCCCTTGCAGCTGTGCCCAATTCTCTCACAATGGCATTCACAGCCCACACAAGGTGCCTATCAGGGGTGGGATTGAACAGTGTGTCACTGGGAGTGGTGATTCTGCAATAGCAAGATACTGCAGCTTGTAAGGTGCACAGGACTAAAATTATCAATGTCAAAGGTGTATCAGACTAAGCTCATGCCCATACCTTGATCACAATGTGGAACAGGTGCCAATCCCCATTGTTCCATTTGAAGAGATTGCTGTGCAGATGGAAAGTTCACCTACATAATCAATGGATATCACCAATCACATGAATAGAACCAAATAAATGCTCACCATTGCATATTTCCATGAAAAGATCCCTCATCTCTGATCATTCAGGCATGCCAAAAGTCATATGGTTTGTGCCATTGTCCTCATCCACTGCCAAGTCAAAAGATTCGATGGGCACATTTGAAATGAGTGAGGGAGGCATTGGTTCCCTCATATCCTGCAATTGAGCAAGCAGGTTAGTTGGAGAATCAGGTTGAGGAGATCAGTCCCTCAGATTTGATGATTTGCAGGTGATGGGCAGAGGAGATGGTTCCCACACATTCTGCAAGTCTGCCAGAAAATTGACCTGCATAGTAACATCTTGTGCAGGTGTTGAAGACCCATCCATCCTGTTTAATTTCTTGTGTGTGACTGGCAGTGCTGATGGTTCCTGCATATTCAGCAATTGCTCAAGTAGATCCATGTTCATACCATCCACTGGGGGAGCAGTTGGTTCCCATTCATTCAGGAACCGATTCATCAAGTTGTCATGTGGATCTATTACTAGAAAATTAGTTTGTTTGTTAGCTTGAAGGGCAATTGTGCCAACTCACCAGCCACAATTCCACCCTCTGCCAGAGCAGTTGGCTCCCTTTCCTGCAGGAACTGATCCAGAAAGCTTTCACATGAATCTATAGCAAAAGAACATTTGTTGTTTAGCTTGGAGAGAAATCATGTTCACTCACTGGCCATGATATCCATGTTCAACCCCACCATATCTGCCCTGCCACTTGAGACAATTGGTGGAGGGGTTGGCTCTTGCAACTCATGCAGTTGTACTAGTGTCTCCTCCAGATTTTTGGACTGCTTCACATGGGAGCTAGATTGCCTTGGCTTGATTGGTCTTACATTAGCTGTGGATGGCTTAGGTTACTGGATCCAACAATGAAGACAACCTCACCTTGACAACAGAAATGAACTTGGCAGGACTGTTCAGCAGACATATTCGATGATGATGGGTTCACTGATAGGTTGATGATCAATCAAGATTTAAACTTGTAGGAACAATGGTGAGAATATCATTCACACTGTGGGAAGCAAGGTTGGACAATGGCAGATGGAGCCAAATTTTGGGTAACAGCAATACATGGGAGATGAGCAGCAATATCTCCCTACATAGATAGCTACCAGTTGCTTCCACATGGCCAATATGTAGACCTGTGCCACTCAGCTCTCCACTCAATTGTCATGAGCTACTGTACATGCCATACACTTGTATTCTAATGTGTCACACTAGGCTAAGCCCTCTATAGACCATACATGAGTTCCAAAAAAGGTTTCCACTCTGACTGTTTGAGGGATTTGACAACTACTTCTGCTTCTGATTGCTGCCTGTTTGCTTGTGCGATCTCTTTGCATCAGGAGATGGAACATCTGCATCTGGCCTTGCAGGGGCCTTTCAGACATGAGGTGACTTCCAGGTGCTCCCAGGGATGCCCTGTTTCACATTTGTGGATGCTGCATTGGTGGTCACAGATCCATTATGGTTGGACTTGGATGAGTATTTGGCCCCAGGTTGATGTTGATTCATGTCTGGCTCACTCAATTCTGACAGAGCCTGCTTAATATACAACACAAACTTGTTAGCCATAACAGCTGATTCAACATGACCAAACTTGCCTGGTGTGCATGCTTCAGGGCAGATTTCAGCTTTCCACCTTTGTTTCTGCTTGTTGACCCCTCCTCAGTTGGGTGGTCAGTGAAAGGAATGCTCTCCAATCCATCTTCATCTGCATATTCTGAGTGGTCCTGTAGTTCAGTTGTGTACTTGTTCCCTGAGTGCAGATCAGGGTTTGCTGCAAATACAAGTTACAGCAGGAAGCTCACTATTCAGGGATGTTGCTGTTTTCTTTGAATTGGATAGGGTGGGCAAATAAGTGTCTTCATCAGCTTCATCATTGGAATCATGGCCATTGTTTTCCTGCCCATTATAGTCAGTTATCACTTTATTTCGCAGACAATGCACCAGGGTCTTTGCATGGGCTGGAGGTGCAGAGAGCCACTCACTATGGGAACCATCAGCTGGTGGGGGATTTGAGTGGGAATGAGAAGGGAATGGTGTCTTGGCACAGTTTTGCCTCCTGCCAGATACCTGAAGACCAGAATCACATTAGTGCTGATCTGTTGTGCATGAAAATCACACATGGCACACCTTTTTAGTGGAGGGACCATCTGTTCCAACATTGCTCACCTCAGCCTTGCTGTGATCATCCAAACTGTCATCCATGCTATCATCCACACTATCATCTGCCACTCCCTCTTCCTGTGCTTTACCCTTGCCCTTGACATTTTTCCTTCCAGGATTCTTTTTGCATTTGGGGGCAGGTGTCTTTTGGTATTTCCACTGCCTCACAACCTGGAGGGGTGCCAAAGTTCTATCCACTGGTGGCTGCAGCTCACCAGATCAATTGATCCATTTCTGAAATCCAAACACTGTTATGCCCAAGCACAGTGACTTCTTCAAATGGAATAGGCACAAAGCATGTGAGGGGGAGTCTATGGGCTGAATGTGTTGTAACCCCTATGGCTCAGTTATCTCTGAGGTTCAACAAAGGTTTGCTCCTTCTGGTGAGTTCTTCTGAGATCACACAGAGGAGGGAACAAGAATGAGGGAGAAGGAAGTTAGCTGAGTTGCAAGCTATCAAAAAACTGAGGATACAAGGTAAAGTACATGGGTTTATATACCCCTAAGTACAAGTACCATACCAGTCATGATGAGATGCATCGTGACATGTATCTGCAGTAATCAACAGAACAATCAGTCAAATACATAAGTCAGACAGAGTCATACAGTGTCATATGATGGGGGTAGGCAGGGGAACAAAGGCTATACTGGCTGCACAATCAAAGTGCAGCGAGGAGCCAGACACCAGAGCTATAGTACAACATCTGGGCAATATAGATGAGTCAGAAACAAGTCAGAAAGCAGGAACATAACATGTCATCCATCAGAGAGGGCAGTGGAATACCGGATCAAAGGGGAGGTGCAGTCTCAACAGGTATTGGAAATACCTTGACAGCTGGAGATCTGAACAAGCCTCGCATCATGTGTACCCCTAAGACAGTGACAATTATGAGAGACATGACAAGGCACATGATGCACATGACCATGAGAAGTTGAAAAAGGAAAGACCCCTGATGCAGGCATAACATCACCCCCCCTCTAAGGTCCTCAGACCCTTGAGGATGCACCAGATGCATTAGCAGGGTGGGCAGAAAGGGGTCAGCAAGTAGTATAGACACAGGAACAAGTGTGTGAAGCGATGGGCAACAATGGCAATGGAGATGGTGGTTCCTTGAGGGCCAGAGTAAAGTGGGATCCACATCTGTTGTGACAAGACCAATGTCCCAAGTAACAGCACTGGCAACACGTGTGCTGGTAAATGACATGGTTGGACAGAACAGGGGACTGCCCTCCAAGGTAGAACTGAAGTTGATCAAGAGGGACAGGGAGGAAGGGAGTCGCAGGGAGAGGGTCGGTGGTGTGGATGGCATTGTGATAGTGCTTATGCAATCTGGCCCATGACGCATCCTGAAGTAAAACCTCCCAGGTGGAGTTGTGAGTCCCAGTCCTGAGATGAGCACCGACCTCTTTATACAACTCTCCTGCATCGACATATGTCAACTCCAGAGCCTTCCACCTGGCTACTTTCTCTTCTTTGGCTGCCTTCTCTTCTTTCTGTTCACAGGAAACTGATGGTTCCTCTTGTTTTGGGCAAATCCAATCAAGAATTCAAGAAGCAGGCAGAGCAAGAAACTTGCCAATCTGTTGGTTCCAAAGATGGTGGTAGGCCCCACCAGTAACAGCTTCTAAAAGCTCCAACAAGCCACATTCCAGCATGTTAATCATGATTACTTCTGACAGTGGAGCAGTTCCACTAAGTTTCTGGGTGCAAATTTTGGAAACAGCAGTGTTGATTATGTCTGTTGCTCTGTAGATTTCAGACAGCATCCCAAAATATGCAACCTGTTCTGGTGAGCACCCATCAATGTGGTCCCCATTGTGGAAGACATCGAGTGCCCTAACAACATCCAGGTAGTCAGCTGCTGCAACTGGTAATCATGGCTCATCATCCCTGGCAAGGGCTGTGGTGGCAAGAAGGTCAAGGGCTGCATGTTGTGCACTGTTGGAATGGGTGGTGAAAGTGGTGCATATGTGGGGAGACTTGGGAGCATCAGTGGGATTGGTCTTGGCTGCTCGACTATGGGCGTCATCACCAGCTTGCATCTTACCCTTTCCCTTTCTGCGCTGGTTACTGTCCCCAATGACAGGGACTCTCTTGACCAAGAAACCTGCATGTGGATGCAGTCAGAGAGGGTGGGCAAGAGGGGGCGATGTCTGGCGAGGCTGCAAGATGGGGGACAAGGGGTATGAGTCAAAAAAGCTGGTGGCAGTCGTTGGAGGTGAGGTTGGGGCATAGATAGTGATGGGGGGGATGAAGAGGTCATCCCTGTTGGCTGTGGGGTCATAAATGGATTCAGCGAGGGGGAGATTGGCATAGTCATTTTCAGTGTTAACCAAGTGAGGGGAGTCCATTAGTTATGAAGATGGTGGGCGGGCTTGCACTGAAAGAGGGCTTCCAAAGCATGGTCGTTCATATGTTCTTTGGGTTCCCAAGTATTTGACAAATGTGGGAACCCTTTCCACTTGGCCAAGTACTGCCTCTTACCTCTGCACCCATCCACCTTGTGATTGATGATCAATTCATCCTCCCATTCAATTTTATTGTCAACAAGTTCCGGTAGCAGTGCTGTGGGTGCAGCCCCATAAGTGTCATTTTTGGTAAACAGAAAGATATGAGAGGCATGGAACACTGAGTGAACCTTCCAGGTTGGCAGGAGCTCCAATTGGAAGGCTACCAGAAATACAACCTGAGTCACCTGGAAAGGCCCGAGATGTTGAGGTGCAATCTTGTCACACTGGTTTTTGATGTGGAGATGTCTGGTATCAAGGAGGACTTGATCTCCTACCTTGGGCAGCACATGAGACCCTTTTGAGTGCGAATGCATCAAGTCCTGTGCTTTCTTGTGCACAAGAATGGTGACATTGTGGTTTGAGGCCAGCCTTTCTAATCTTTCATCTACTGAGGGTACCATGGTTAGCCAAACTTCTGGATAGGGGGATGGTCATAATTCAGGAGTAACGAAAATGGTGTCATTTGATGAATGGAGTGGATCTGGGAGTTGTGAGTGAACTTGACAGATGGGAGTTTTGTGGCCCACGAGTTTGGCACTTCGGCACAATACAGCCAAAGGTATCCTTCCACTTCCTGGTTGACATGTTCACTTTCTCTGTTGGTCTGTGGGTGGTAACCTGTCGAAAGTTTAGGGGTTACCCCTATTGCCTTATAGAGCTCCTTCATAAAGGAAGATGTGAACTGCAGTCCTCAATTGGAGATTACCAATTCAGGGACACTGAAATGGGAATAAATGAATTGATGGAAGAGTTGGGCAACCCCAATGGAGTCAATTGTTTTATGACATGGAACAAACAGAGCAGCTTTGGACAGCCCCTGATTGACAACTGTGAGAATAGAGTTGTATTTTTGTTCTCCCGATACTGGGAGATCTGTGATGAGATCCATAGATATTTTCCAGAATGGAAACACGGTCTTTGGTGTGTCATGCAGGACAATGGGCAGTGTTGGCAAGTGAGTCACAACCTTGGTGGTCTGACATGTAGGGCAACCTGCCATGTAAGCTTGTATATCCTTTCCCATACCTTCCCACCATACTTCTTTATGCATCTTTGTGAACATCGCCTTTTGTCTGGGGTGTCCAGCAGACTCATGGTCATGATATGATCGCATGCAATGGTGACAATTTTCTGGGGGAATGTATAGCCAAGTTGTTCCAAACTGTTTTGTACCATCTTTCACAATAGTGACATTATCCTTGGGTTCCAGGCCTGTCAAATCCTTTGGCATATCATTCTTGATGTGTTCATACAGGTCTGCAGATATAGTGTAAACTCCCTGCACTCCTTTTGTTGGTTTCCTCAGGGGATGAGCATTGGGCAGATGATTCTCCTTTGATTTTTCCTCAGATGGGTGAGAATATGGCTTTGAGTTGTCTTGGAATGCTGAATCCGAGCAGGTAGATGTCCTATGCAGCACAGATGGTTAATTTTTAACTGTTTTTGTATTTTTGTAATGGAAAAAGAGGGTGAAACAAGGTGAATGTGGGAACCCACCCCCTCCAAAAGCCAAAGGTCTGGGGGAAGGACTGTGGCCACTGGGGTGGGCTCCTCCAGGGTGCCTTTATGTGAAAGAGTGTTGGCCAGGACCTGTAGGTGACCAGCCTGCCAGGAGAACCAGATAGGGTAAGACTGGATAGTAGCAGCCCAGTGGGCCTGGCATGGGGTGAGCTGTTGAGGCTCACAATAATACTCCAAATTCTTGTGGTTGGTAAAGACCACAGTGGGTTCAATGGGTGACAAGAGGTATGGGCAGAAAGCTTTGAGAGCATGGATGACAGTGAGCATTTCCAAGTTGTAAACTTGGTAGTGCTGCTCAGCACTGACCAGCAACTGCGAGAGGTAAGAGCATGGATGCTACTCATTGTCAGCTCCTTTCTGAGTGAGCATGGCCCCAGTACTGAGCTTCGAAGCATCTGTAAAGAGAGCAAAGGGCTTTGAGAAGTCTGGGATGGTGAGGACCAGAGAGGAGCATAACAAAGACTTTAACTTTTTGAATGTGGCATTGTGTTCTGGAGTCCACTGATATGAAACCCCTTTCTTGGTAAGGTCATGAAGGGGTCTGGTGATGCTTGAGAAGGAAGGGATGAACTTTTGGTAAAAGTTACAGAACCCAAGGAATCATTGAAGCCCAGTAAGGTTGTCAGGGGCTTCCCAAGTACTAATGGCATTGGTCTTCATCAGTGAAGTCTCCATATGCCCCTTTCCTATGATCATTCCAAGGAATTCTATTTCTTTGGCCTCGAAGACACACTTGCTGATCTTGAGGCACAGACCTTCCTTTTCACAGATCTTCAGGAACTCGCAAACACATTCCCAAAGTTCTTCCTTTGTTTTGGCATGGATAGCAACATCATCCATGTAGCCTACTTGTTTTCCATGCTGAGACTCAAAAGTTTTATCCATGTATCTCTGGAAGGAAGGGGGTGAGTTGCATTGACCGAAGAACATTACCATGGGCTCGAACAGCCCTCTTGGCATGATAAATGCTCCTTTCCATTCATCGCCCTCCTTAACCCAAAGGTTGGTGA